AGATGTGTTGTCGTGTATGGTATTATTGATAGTCCTCCACTTCAAATACAACACTTAGGAGTAGACTCAATTGTTCGTCACTATTTGCAGTATAAAACTTGGTGTTCTAAATATTTACTCACTGTGACAGTCGTGTCCCAGTCAATGTGCGTTCAGTTTAACTTGTTTAAAAGTCAACATGAAACTATTGTAAGATTATTTTAGCATTGTTTGTAGGTACAACAGGCTACTCATGATTGTGAAGTCCCAGATAATCCGGTGACTTGTTTGACTAGCTTCTATTTAATATTTCAATCAACATTCAATGAGACAGTTATCAATTCACACATGATGCAAACAGCTACACAGAGTGGTGAGAGAAACACTGAAGCAAACTTATAAATTTGTTCCTCCCGCGAGACTGAATAAGTCTACAAAAAGAAAAAAAAAACAATAATTAATTACTTAACTACGGACTTTTATATTTTCGTATTTGTAAAGGAATAAATATTTCGTAAATTCATTATGCGAAAAATAGGTCGTAGATTATATCTCACGAGTTTCTGTTTGATGAGTCCATGAGTAAAGATGCCTTTTGTACATGCCGAAGCCGTATTTTTTAAGTTTTAAATTCTATCTGATACAGCCTTTTATCTGTGTAATTGCATTTGTTGTTTACATATTCAAAAGAAATTATAATCAATAGTCTCATTTATCGGCTTTATCGCATCTACCACGGTTCTCAGTTATCGATTAAGGGTTTATAATCAATACTGGGTTTCTTATCGGCCTTGTCGCATCGTCCACTGTATCGATTAAGGGTGGTAGGCCTATATACTTAGGCCTACTATTGATTTTTTTTATGCAGAAGCCGAGATTTTGTGTTTTTTAGAAGCAAAGAAAGATTTTGCCTTGATTCCCAACAATGCTGCAAGGTTAGTCAAAATAACAATTATACTGAAATAGTTTAAATGTAGGCTAATGATATGATATTAAAGGACAGCCAATAACTTTTTAAAATCGATGCAGTTTAGATTTTAATTTTCTACAACGATTTCTATTCTGCATATTTTGGAGTTATATCATTAGTTTTATGTAATGATGTAGAAAACAAAAATCAGAATAATAGACAACGTTTCAGGAAAAAAATAGTTTAAAGTGGTTAACATCCGACAACAATTTTTGAAAGTGATGTTGAAAAAAATTAAAAGTATACTATACTGTACAGACTCAATTGTTCGTGTTATTACTTATTATAGAGGGCGACATCACAAATAACTGAAACCAAAGACACTAGCTGAAACCGAGCACACCGCCTCCTCTCTCCCGCTGTGTGTATGTGTTGTTTTGCTTCAACTTGGCTATACAAGTAACTGTGTAGGTGTAGGGTCTATGTGATTTGAATAAACAACACAATGGCAAATGTAAATATTATTAGTCGTGATAATCGTGAAGATACTGAACTATTGGACCCTGATCTTGAATCAGATAACGGTGGAGATGATATGTATTCAGTCGGAATGGATGGCGACAACAAGAATGAACGTCAGCTCGAGAATTATGAGGAAGATATCGTGAAAACGGCTAGCGCCCGGCTACGTGAGTGCACCTAGGCCTAACCATTGAAATATTTCGCGAGCTAGGCTAGAGCCTACACTTATAGCTAGGCCAACTGCAACATTTACATAAAGTTGCCAGTCTAAGCTTTAGAAATAATTTGGGCCTCGGCCTGTTGGGAATCCCGGCGCTGCTAATGCATTTTTGCACACCACTAACCTGATAATCGAATATTGTGTTAGCCTAACACAACAGTTAGGGTTAGGGTTAAAAATTGCTGTACATTGATTAGAACATGGCATTGATTAGGACATGGCCAGGGCCAAGATATTCGCCAAAATAAATTCCTTAAAATTGATAAAAAGAGAAGTTCGATCGATAAAGCAGGGAGTTGTTATCTGAATTTAACAACTCCTTGGATAGAGAAAACTTCAGTGTCTGTTAATCAGTGAGATTGATGCTTCAAATAAATATCTTATTTATTATCTGGGATGGTAGTGGCTATCGGCACTGCCGCAGTGCCGATTTGGCACTGCCGCAGTGCCGATTTGGCACTGCCGCAGTGCCAAAAATATTCATAATTCATAATTTTATTTATTTCACTCAAAACGTAATGAGACTGGTTAGGCAAAAACATGTCCCTGTACAAGATGCCTACCAGAGAAACAATGATAATTTTAATGGCAAAGACATAATAATAATAATAATAATACAGATAATAATAATAATAATAATAAATAAATATTAATAAAAAGTAAATGATAATAATAATGAAGATCAAAATATATCATTGAAGTGAATTCAGTTATTTATTAAAACAAGATTTGGAGGGCTGGACTGTCATGAAGGTGTTGTATTAATGATGTTCTAAATATTTGCCTTTATTATATCAATTTGATTAGGTCTAGCTTAGCCTATATTTTTGTTAACATTATATTATATTTGTTTAACAATTAGTTTAAATAATTATTTATAATTAAATTATTAAATGTATACAATATATATTATATAGGCCTAGGCATATACATAAAACAAAAAATAAACAAACAACAATAATAATAATAATAATAATGATTTTACGATAGTTTGATTAATGAAATAGCAATAATCAGCATGTTAAATAAAATTACGTCCATACAAAACCTGCTTTTAAATAAAAACGTTATGTATTTGATTCTGTTTTAAAAAATAATCATATAAATTATAAGTTTATTTTCTGCGATCATTTTATGCACATATGCATATTCATGTTTTCAATGTTAATCTGGTTGATAAATAATATATTTAAAAAAATAAATAATAATAATAATAATAAAGGTGTTCGAATAATGCTTTAGTGAATAATTAATACTTCTATAATGCTTCAATAGGCCTATTTACGATAATGTGATTAATGAGATAATTGTTGATTAAGTTATAGAAATATAATAGGTAGGCCTATATACCATTAATAATGATTCAGCATATTAAATCAACAATACGTCATAATGTAAAATTTCTTTGGTTTAATAATAATAATAACAATAATAATAATAATAATAATAATAATTTTATGATAGTTTGATTAATGAAATAGCAATAATCAGCATATTAAATAAAATTACGTCCGTGCAAAACCTGCTTTTAAATAAAAACACTATCTATTTGATTCTGTTTCAAAAAATAATCTTATAAATCATAAGTTTATTTTCTGCGATAATTTTATCAACATATGCTCATTCATGTTTTCAATGTTAATATGGTTGATAAAAGT